ATATGGGTATCATTTTCGAGGTATTTGGGGGTGCTTATTACAAATATGGCACTCATTTCTAAATCTAAGATGGCAGTCACGACTTTTCAAAAAAATGCTATATAGGTATTATTTTCGAGGTATTTGGGGATGCTCAATGTGAATATGGCACTATTTGTAAATGCAAGATGGCGGGCACGATTTTTCAAATAATGGCAAGTTGGGTATCGTTTTCGAGGTATTTGTGGGTGCTCATTACGAATATTACATTACAATAAAAAAAATGTGCAGCCATCGCGATATTGCCTATTCTCAAATAATTGCGTAATATAATTACTTTGAAACAGAATAGCAAAATTGGGAGAAAGAAATCCGTTACTTTGCAACATTTTAGTGTCTTGTTGCAACGAAATTAATTTTCGGTTTTAGTGAATATTTATATAAAAATACAAGTTGAAACGCGTTACTTCCTTGTGGAATGTGATGTTAGTGTCTATGTTTGTTTGCCTGTTCTATATTTACACCTATTTACCGCACATTTCGTCATTTTTAGCAAAAATTTTTGAGCTGTTCGCGGTGCAATTTGACCTTGAGCACTGACAGTCCGCCCACTCGTGTGGGCCCTTTGGGAAGCCTCTAACTTGCCTCACTTAGCGTGTGCGGGCTAGGTTTCTATGCGTTATTATTCTAAGCGTGTAGGTATTTAATTTGAAAGCGTTGTCCAGAACAACCAAGATATTCTTTTTTTTAAATACAATTTTTTTTATACAATTCTAAATACAAACCTACATTCATTCAGCCAGCAGTAATGCAAATCATAACGCCTAGTTTAGTAGTACTATGAAAGAAATATTCCATTAAAAATTATTTTCAAAAATTTTGTCCCTTACTAGGTTTTGCTCTGGAGCAGCCGAATTGTAGTTGCTTGTCAAAAAACAATTTAATTTTCTAGCACTGATTCTTGAACTAACTCTATACGATCTCCTTGAAATCCATAAACAAAACATCTCAACGTTCAACCCTTTTACAATAAAATTTTTGATAATTCAAAGCCATCTGATGCCTTGTAGTTTACATTCTCTTTGAATGTTTCTTCCGTCAATACCAAACTCATATTTTAACTATGTTTATTTATACTAAAACTTAGAAAATAAATTTAGATCCCAAAAAATTTGTTAATAGATGAAATAATAAAATATTAAATAAATGGTTTTGATCTAAGGAGAAGAGGTTTCGTATCAATCGTGGAATGAAGATGATAGAGCTAAATAGAGTTAAACTGGAGCATACGCTCGTATGGCGGGGAAAAGTGTGAGCTTCAATACCGTTTGTGTAAGTACTTTAGCACGGACAACACTGTCGCTTTACCATTACGCAACAAAAGTATCGCCATTGTTAAAATTTCAATAGCAAATTTCGCTTGCACTGTCGGCGATACACTCAGCGGTAGGTTGTAGTAGTTGTAGGTAGGTTGGCCTATTCCACTAGTCCCTACCAGCTGTCCCCCCTGGTGGGGACAAGTGGATTTTTTTTCACTCTTCCCCACCACATCATCGCTGGTTGGGATAAGTGGAATTTGATTTCCATTTATTTCTTATTATTTATTTCATTTATTTCTTAATAACTCGAAAACTACTTTGCCTTTTCTAATGCCATTTAGACATATTGACAGTTAAGCTTAAAGTTGTTCATATTTCAATGTTATTGGGTACATTAAGCGAGAAAAAAACAATAGCTACGGTAATTAAGCTGAGGACACCAAAATGGCTACGGTAATTAGGCTGAGAACACCGAAAGTGAGAATGGCCGATTTAAAAAAATATACGCGGTTTAGATTAGTAGAGCTCCTTCTGAAAGAATTCCTCCAGGGAAGTATTGTTACCTTACCTATTTCTGTCGTCAAGCAGTAATGTGAGTGTTACTGCGCTCCGGTTTTGAAGGGTTTTTTTTATAACATCAAGTGACGGGGCGAACAATCCTGACGGTAAGCTACATGCCTGTCCATAACACTGGCAGTGCCACCCTGAGCTTTAAATCGCAAAGATCTAAGGGGAATTGCCACTGCGCCTTTCAACCTGAGACATAAGGCGACAATGCATTACCGCTTGGCAGCAGAAAGAGGTAAGGTGGCAGAACTTCCCTGGAGGAACTGTTTCACAAGCTCTACTGCTCTAAATGGGTGCGGATGAAATTATAGGCACATGTCAACTTATGTCTCAGGGTGATGGGTGCAATGGCAGTGTCCTGTCACTTGATATCATAAAATGTAGATCCGGAAAAATAGTTCCATTTCCAATTTAAAAACTAATATTACAAATGGAAAGTGACGCTGATGTTTTAACAGGATCTCACCGACTCTAATATAGAGTCAATCGCAAAATGGCTGAGCTGCAATGGGGAAGTATGGGGTGTGGGGCCCACTGCGGTCTTCGCAAGTGCCGCTGCCCTTTTTCTTTACCAGGAACTAGAGTCCACGATCTTCATCGCCGGAGACGGAGCCCATGTGTCCTTGCTCGAAAAGACTCTAATTGTTAGTACACAATGATAAAATCCTTTGTACTCAGATATGGAACAATTATAACCAAAAAATTCCGTACATGTAATTAGCGGTAATAAACGGTAAGAATAAAGATTTTATTCCCAATAGTTCCATGTACTTCCACGTGGAACTTTTGTAATCTTAAAAAACTACTGAGAATAAACGAGCATGACTGCTATGATCCCCAAATGCGAAAGGTAATCGCCCTCCACCAATCACCAAACACCGTTCTAGAATTTTCAAGACATGACGTCGTCGGTGGTCGAGTGGCTTTCATGGTGTCACCATTTCTGAAGTCCCGGGTTCGATCCCCGGCCGGGTCAACACGGAAAAGCTAATTTTTCTATATTGTCTCTTGTCTGGGTGTTTGTGGTACGGTCGTTGTTTCCAATTTCCATACACAGGTGCTTCAGTTCCTTACTTTATTGTCTATTATTTATTTATTTATTTATTTATGACGATTTAGCTAGAATATTCCAAAATTTCAACACTAAGGCCAATTTATTTGAGATTATATTGAGTCAATGACAATTTTGACACACGGTTTTTTTTTATAGAATATAAGTATGTCTACAAAGAAACGCCCATTTCACACTTCGTTATTAACGTGATTTTTTGTCCTGTCCTGTATATACGTCTATATTGATTTATATGGATTCTGATCTGTACATTATCGTACACATATCAACAGCTAGACAACTGTAGTACCGACACGCTATGGTGGCCGTTTTGACATTTGTCCGCTCATCAAGTTTCGTATTATTTTACGACACAACTCGGCATTTGTTTTTATAAATTTTTACAAATGAAATCTGTCCAGCACAACTTCTACCTCCCGCAATCTCGTGTCAAAGCTCAATGCAAAACAAAGCAGTTTCGAATTGACCATATACTAAGTAAACATTTTTATTTTCGTTTTGTTAAAACTTTTTAATCAGCTACCCTTTACTCTCATTTGATTATATTTTTTTCGATAATGAATTGAGATTTGACATCACTATTGTAATCTGTTAAAACGGCCATCATAGCGTGCCGATACCGTACATTGCACATATCGACTCATCCGTAGAACAAAGATCTATGTGCAAGACTACTTGTTCTCAGGACAATAGTACATTTCGTTTGTTCTTCTTCGCTGTGGATGTCAGACCGACCGTTGTTCGACTTTATATCTCCGAAACGAAATAAAAAATATAAATTCTCAAAACACCTTTACGTAGGCTTTAGTTTGAAGAACGAAATTATTCTCGTAACCTACTTAGTCTCTTTTCGCTATATAATCACATCGGACTCTGTTCTTCGGATGAGTCGATATGTTACAAAAAATAGCTCATGATGCAAAGACCTTAACAAACCGGCTGTATACAAAAGATTGTCTAATTTTTTATTGTTTTAATGGTATTGTTTAGTCCACGATGGTCGCTGGCATGCTGGCTCTGATGATTCACCTTTGGGTCTGCTCAATGCGGTTCTTCCAGTACTATTTGGACACCCTGATTAGAGATGTAAGTAACCTCGATGTTGGCATCTAAGGAACTAGGAAACTAAGTACAAACTAGTTTCTTTAATCATCTACTTTGAATTATTTTTTTATCAAAAACCCAATATCTTGAAATGGGAAAATGTTTTATTCTAATTCTATGATATAGTTATAATTGGTCTGTAGGACGTCATTGTCGTCAATATTTTATACGTCCTGTTACTGCGCTCGGGTTTGATCTAAAGAAGGGGATTTGGCCCATACGTTACCATGCTGGCCCAAAACCATAGATAAGGGAAAAAGGGGAGATTTGGTATGGGGGCGTGGTTCGTGTCGCCTCGATATGATCAAAATGATCATATCGAGGTGACACGCCTACAAACATCGCCACAGTGATATGGCGATCGTTGTACATACAAGATCTCTCGTAAAACGTGAAAATGCCAAGTTGTAGCGATACACCTTGTAAAAATTGCAGTGAAAACTAAAATTTTAAAATCAGTAAGATAACATTCCACCGGCTATTTGCATTTTTAGTTACTATTTCTATTATTATTCAATGTTTTCTTTTTGCCTCCATAGAAATTTCTAGACTCAAATATAGTGATGTTCATTTACGATGACTGATGTTTATCGACAATAAATTTTTAGTGAAATGTTTGAATTTCTTACTATGACTTTTGTAATTAAAACCCTAAAAAATCGAAGCGAAAAGCTTTCACGTTAAATTGATTTCTTTTATTTTATTATTATTATTATTACTAAACATTTTATTTCGAGGAACTTTAACACAACTCACATTTCGGACAACCGTTTCAATTTCATGTCAATTTGTATGTTGCTCTGTTGCTTGAAGAAAAATGTATGTGTATTATTGTTTTAGATAATTTAGATATTTAAATTCCATTATACTCGTAGATTAAACGTAGTAGTAGTATTTTTAATTTTTAAGTTTTTCCAATGAGTTCAAAATAAAAGAAGGTTGGATTGAACCTGCAGGAAAATCGAAAGATTGGTTTTCTTATTACTATTTCTGACTTTGTTTAAATTTCCATAGCAAATGCATTTAAAAAATAAATAAAACAAAATCGGCTTTACTTTACATGTGCATGCAAAATAAATTAGAGACAATTATAGAAAATTACTTAAATCCTTCATAAAAAAGACAACGTAATAATTAAATTAGTTGATGGTTCGAGTTTACTCTTGACAGTGACAGCTTCACCAACCCGTGCTAACGTATAATGGAAAACTGACACTGGCGACGATCGCCATATTTTTTATTATTATTCTTACAAAACTGACACTGGCCCAAGGCCAGTGTCAGTAATGAAATTACTATTATTTAGAAAATAATAGTAATTTATAATAATATATTAATTTAATAATACACTAATACCAGTGTAGGTATAGTATGAAAAATTGAATATTTTTGTAATATTAAAAACAGCCACATGGTTTCTACCTATAGATTAGGTAGGACCACATCCCTTGTTGAGTAGCGTCAGTTTAAGGTAATAAGGTTAACAATTCACGGAGCGGTTTCCATCCGCGCCCGCCGTTGCTGCTAGACATCGGTTTTATTTCAATACTCACGATCCTGCAAGTTTGTGCGGGCACGTAGCTGCCGCGGTTGCGGGCACGAAACCGTTGCGATTGCGGAACGGACCGCGAAGTTAGCGGGAGTTAATCGCAGGTCGCGCGATTAATAGAGAACCCACCCCGCGTGCGCCTGAACCGACCGCCAAAGTGCGCGGGCGACGACGGCCGCCAAGCGCGCAAGTGATCGCGTGCTACGCAGTTCAACTAGTACCCCGCCGCGGCAACCGCGAGCAACCGTCACCACTACAGGCGTAAAACGCGCCGTGTAATGTGCTACTAATTTTACATACTTAACTATTACATTCTACACTGAAAACCGCTCCGTGAGTTTTTAGTGTAACGAAAAATGAGTTTCAGCGCCATCTAACGTGTAATAGTTAGCTATTATATGCTAGTAGCATTTTTACTAAAACGCCACCTGATGATGAATGGCTGAAGTAAGATGAAAAAAAATACTCAAATATTTTAATATAACTCTTACTCAAGTGACTGTAAGTTTAATTTTGTTAAATTTTAAAATTGTGTTATGTCGTTTTCACGTTTTAGGCTTTACCCAATCTGAATCTTTAAGTTATAGTAGTAGATAATAAAGCGTAAAGTTTGAATTGCACATAAGCTAAAAAGTGGCGACATCGGTACCCGATCTTACATAGCGTCATTCCATATCTCCCTTTTTATCCTATATCTTTGCCCAAAACGGTATGTTTTGGGATATTTCTTCAGTGCATGTTTCGTCACGATCGGCGATCTTAGCCTTCACCGTTAACGTGACTATTGGCTTAGAAATTAAAAATCTCGCAATCGAGAAACCGTTATCTCACTAGGCTACCGTTCTTTAGTTTTTACGAATGATCTTCGCTATTGAAACCTGTTTAGGGATTATTAGGATGCAGAACTTTGAAATTAACAACACAATGATAACGATTCAATCCATGTTTTTGAGTCATATTTTTAAACCAAGTCCAATTACTCTCATTCCCTCTCTCTAGTTGCTCAAGTCTGAGGATTGTGGCCAGATTCGTATCTGCTTCCGGAGCAGATAATCCACTTCCATCGGTTTCTGTTCAGCGCGTAAAATTTGGAGGATGATAAGTCTTTCACTTAATCGGTCCATCTAATTGGTGCACGACCTCTTAGTCGCTGTTAATGATACTAAAACTTAAAGATTGCTTGCAGAGTCCAAGTATGCTGCTGGAAATGACGACCGCGGGACTACTGGGTACACAAGCAGATATGGTACCACTTGGGCCTCTGACCAGATTCCTTCGACAGCAGCAACCTCAGATTCACATTACGGTCTGCTGGTTCTTATCTCTTTGCTACGCCGACTACGTCAGAAAAAATTACTGTCAACGATTCAATATGCCTTATTTGGAGCAGTGGTTAGTATACTTAGTACTTCTTTGTTCCTAAACAATATCAGGCAGACTTCCCCGTCACTCTACGCTCTTATTGAAGGACTTACCACATTTGTTAACGCGCTAGAATCGGTCAGAAAAAGCTTTATATGCATGCACTAAAAGCGAAAAGTTCGTAGAGCGTTTTGCTAGACCGCCGACGTAAAGTCTTTTTCACTCTTGGACATGAATATAGACGTATAGATTTTTCTAACAGGCACTGAAATTCCATGTCGATAAAGTGTTGTTACTTCCTAATATTAATATACAAAAAGTCACAACCAAAAGGAAAAGGACGGATGTAAGATTGATAATTCGATGTGTTAGTCATATTGACAAAAAATATCTTAGAAGTTTGACGGCACAAATTTATAGAACGAATGTGGATGGCAACGTGGGTAAAAGCAGACCTTAACACACCTATCTCGATCAGATTGGGGACGTCCTCAGAAAGGTTTGAGGTATCAAAAATTAACGGATGAGAAAGAAGGAAGTGACTGATCGGAGCCTGGCGGACTACGAGCATTTAGGTATGGAGCCCCTTAGCCTACGGAGAGACGTTGGCTCTCTATGTGTGTTCTACCGTCTTTATAATGGGGAGCGCTCTGAGGGACCTGTTATCACCATCGCACCTCCCACCAAAGGAGTAGAGTCCATCCCCATATCTTAGATGCCTGGCATTGTAAGACCACGCGGGCATCTCGTTCATTCCTCAAGCCAGCGAGATGTGGAATGATCTTCGCCCTGAAGTATTTTCTTAGCGCTATGACATGGTGTTCTTCAAATAGCATGTTTACAGGGCTCACAAAGGCAGACAATGCATAGGCAGCTCATCTGATGTTGCAAATGTCCATGGACGACGATGACCACCTCCCATAAAAAAACGGCAGGCGTGATGATATGTATATATAACGTAGTCATATTAACCAATTAGGCCATTTGTTAAAAATTATGTTACTTTTTTTCAAATCCGAACGACTATGTAATGTTTTCCTCTGCTGGTGGCGGCAGGCAAGCGCAACTGCACGAGCGCGCATCACGGGGAGTCAAGCGTACCATAGAGAAGGTCAACAGTTTCGTCGGCAGCGTCCATCAACGGCTGCGTGGATTCGCGCCCGCTACACCCAGTCAAACGACTGAAGTCCATACGTAAGATTATTGCTTTTTAGAGTACCACGTTTACGGTCAGTCAATGGATGGTTTCCTTTTCATGCTGGCAGTGTAACTGAAAAGGACTTCTAATCCTCATACTACAGATCGTGACTCTGAAAAAAGTCAAAATCCCGTCTTATATCTACATGGCGCTGATCGATAACTTGGAAGTAATATATTAGTAAATGGCCTTTGATATCAATTACATTCTCTTTAATATGATATACAAGGAGTCAGTTTTTTTCCTTGAATATTATTCAAATATTGACCATGGGCAGAAATTATTTTCTGAACTTTGACAATTATAGATGGCATTGTGTGCTACAAACAAACTTATAAATTACCGCTTATTAATATAGGTAAATGGCGTTAACCCTACAGAAAATAAAAGAATAGTAAGCAGTATTCGTAAAAATCTGTGGAAAAAGCGCCATCTAGTTAATTTGTTTGTCAGATCTAGAAATCATACAATACCTAACTTATCAATGCAAAACAAACTACAGTACCGGCAAGCTATGATGGCTGTTTTGACAGATTACAATAGTGAGGTCAAATCTCAATTCATTAACAAAAAAAATATAATCAAATGCGAGTCACAGCTATAAATTTTTACATTTATAACTAATATTGCAAGGGGTAGTTGATTAAAAAGTTTTAATAAAACGAAAATAAAAATGTTTACTTAGGCGCTCCGCAGATGGAGCAACTATAGTTGACGCAACTGGCAACTTTACAAGTTTCCAGTTGTCACAACTAAAAGGCCTAGTTGCCGGTTTGCGCAATTTTTAATAAACTTTCGAAATTCACGGTCAAGACTGACGCTGCGCGTGACGGGGAGAGAGTGAAGTTGCTTCACAAGTTGCGGTTGCCGGTTGTGGAAACTGACAACTGGAGACAACCGGTAACAAATTTGCAAGTTTCTAGTCGCTGCAATAAAGAATTTATTTAATCACAGATTTCGGCAATCAAAAACTGTAATCGATTGCTGAAACATCCCAACAGAAGTTGCTACGAGTACGTCTGCGCGGTTTCTTGAAATCATATGAAAAACGTCTTATACAGCTTGTTGCGAGTTGCCAGTTGCCGAAACTCGATTATCAAAATTGCTCCATCTGCGCAGCGCCTTAATATATCGTCAATTCGAAACTGCTTTGTTTTGCATTGAGCTTTGACGCGAGTTTACCGGATGTAGAAGTTGTGCTGGCCAGCGATCCTATAAATAGATTTCATAATTAAAAATTTCGAATTTCGAAAAACAAATGTCGAATTGTGACGTAAAATTCTATAATCCATAAATTTTACTGCACCACACTATTGACAACAATGTACAGCAATTAGCTCCTTCAACGTAATTATGAATTAACACGAAACTTGATGAGCGGACAAAAGTCAAAACGGCCATCATAGCGTGCCGGTACTATAGTATTATAGACTATAGACTGTCCTGTACCGCAATTAGCAGTCCTTTTAGTTATTGGTCCATTATATCACTATGACTAGCACCACCGCACGCTGAGCAGTCGGTGCCTTAAACCTAAGCGCAGCCATTTCATTACAGACCCTAAGATCTACAACACTCAGCACATTCTGTTCTGCTAGTTATCCTATTATTACCCACCCTTCCTTCTTAACCGGACCCCGTTGTTTAAGCGCAGGCCACACCGCGAGCGAAGCTACGCCAAGTTAGCCTAGTTCACGTAGCTGAATGCAACTAATTACACGAGCTAAGCTATCTGAGCTTAAATCACGTATCTGCATGCAAACCTAACTAAGAAAATATGGGGCCATAGGGACGTGGGACAACTCGATGTTAGTCTTTCGTGTATAGCAGTAACTATAATTTGCAAATCGTAACATCGTCAAATCATTTTAGTAGAGCCATTTCTTTAGTTATTTATTTTATTTATTTAATTTCTTGTCGGAGAACTAACAGACAAACAGTTACTTAGAAAAGTAAATAAATTTTCAAATTCTGATGATGAAAGAAGAAGAAAGGAAAGAATGTCATGTAACGAGAAGAGTGCTAGGTATGAATGTGGAGGGATATAAGGGGAAAGGAAGGCCAAAGAAAAGATGGATGGATTGTGTGAAAGATGACATGGATAAGAAAGGTGCGAGTATAAAAATGACGTGGAAAGTGGAAGAAAAATACTTGTTGTGCCGACCCCACCTAGCGTGGAATAAGGACAGGAAGAAGAGACGAGAGAGTTTCTACATATAAAAATTAACAAAAAATAGGTGAGGCTACAACTATCGTATCCTGAGCCCACTAAGTCAATCAATAGCAAGAGTAAATAACAGTCACTCAGAGCACAAAACCTGTAATGTACAATTGCTACATGCATTCAAAGATTTTTATAGTTAAACGCCGTTTTACTGCAGCTATATTAGTACAAAACAGATCCAAGATCACAGTCCATACACCACTTATTCAACGCAGAGGAGGCACGCAATATAAAGGAATTTTGTCTGTAATTAGTTTCAACTAAAGGTATGTTTAACAATGGTCGTTCACGGAAGCTTTTTGTATTAGTACGGAGCTGTAATTTAGCAAGTAAATCCGTTCCTCACAACTATTGGTATTGCATCTTGCTTATTCGCACGACGACGCAACAATCGTTGGGTTGTAGCTCACATAGTTCAGTTAGCTCGGCTAGCTTAGTTCACACCGCGGAATAGAATAGAATAGAAAATCATTTATTCGACGAAGGCAAATACATAAAAAAGTAAACAGTTAAAAAAACATGAAACAAAAAAAATAAAAATATAAAAAAGAAACAGAGTAAAAATCAGGATTGACAAAAAACAATAAACGTTGTATGCTACTATGCATGCCCCGTCGAATAGGTCACCACCTCAGCATTTGCAGGGCAAAGTATACCCCGCGCTGATTTTCAGTTGGCAACCTTGGTCGATATCGCACGGATGTAGGTATATCAACATACAAATAAAAATAAAATAAAAGGAAAGGGAGAACAATTTAAGTATCATAATAATTTATAGATTACTATATAAGTGTACGATATATTATAACAATAATTCAAAATGAATTATTATATATAAATACATACTGATAAAAAATAAATAATAATATGTGCAGTGTCACATAATATGAAATCAATCAGAAACTAATAGGTGTGTATTAATTACTATTGAGCTATTCAAAACGTGGTTTATTAAATTCCTAGGATCATAGAAATGGTAAGTTGGCTAAAGATATGATAGGATTTTAATTTATAGAATCGATGTATCAAAACATGCCGCGTTTACGTTAGCTTCGCTCGCGGTGTGTCCTGCGCTTCATGAATGCTTAATTTAATTTGTATGTTGATGTGGTAATTGTTTAAAACGTTTATATCTCAGTAGGTGCAGTTGATTGTTAATTGACAATATTTATTTATTGAAATAATACTCAACTATTTTTGTTGTTATTATTAATACACAGTTAGAACAATACAAGAAAAATTCGTTTTTACCAACTGAGTTACTTACCGGGTCAGCAGATCTCACAAATTTCTCTATGTGCTTGTTAATACAGCTTTTTTACCGCCAGCGGCACCTATGAGGCACTTATGTACAGACCTACAGCTTAACTGAGTCGGTTCCTGAGGTAGCTGCGCGGTGCGGGAGGATTGACAGTATACGTAACACTTATGTCGCGCTACACGTGGAAAAATTTTAACAAGATTTTTCTGACGATATTCAATAACAAGTTAATTGAGAAAAGTGCCAAATGGCTTGTCTCATCATCATCATCAAATAATTCATTTCAATTATCAATGAAATAGTACTTTTTTTTTACTGTCGTTTCACATACCTAACAACAACTGACTAATTTAAGCCACTATTTTCAATCAACTTGTTGTTGAATATCGTCAGAAAAATCTTATTGAAATTATCCCGCACCCGCACCGCACAGCTACCTCAGGAACTGACTCAGCCTGTAGTTTTCTGTAGTATACCTTATCCGCTCACGCGATGCGCTCCTCCTACCGCAAAATGGCGGCTACTTGGTTTTGCAAATTAGAAAAGCATTCAGTTTAAATACAAGTTTTTATAAATAAAAATTATTATTCTGCATGCTATGCATTGCTAAATAAATACCCTCCGTACTACCAAGAAACACATCTCAAATAAAATGCAGTAATACACCGCAAATCCTGCACTTAAAAAGCACTAATGAAATTTTTGGTGTACTTGGATGTTTGAGTGGTTCTAACGTTTACCATGAAATTACTCCTTAAAGTATAGTTTATAAACATTTATATTCAGGGTAAACTTAAAAAACGCTACTTACAGTATGTTTTCAATAACTAAACACCGAAATCACCAGCCCAAACAATAACACACATGATTATCGTGACGTATTTTTGAAGTTGTTTATTTTTTTTAAATGACAGATCCAGGCATTAAAAACTTTATGGTTTGCTAGAGTAGTTACCGAAATAGCAATTAATATTAGTTCTTTTACCTGTTATAACTTCAATATCAGATAAATCGGTATAAAATCATCACCGGCACCTCTAGGTGTGGTATGCGTCTACGGCTGCATATATCGCGTGAGCGGCTAAAATATAAAACATAGAATTAAGCACAATAACGTTCTGATTCTCCGCTATATTTTGATGCCTATGCTGTAGAGGTAAAATTGTTAACTAGAGTGAGAGCGCGGTACCAAAGGCGACCTGCGGTGCCAACAGCAAAGTTTGGATGGGCGGCACTCGGGCGAGTTTATCGGAATGTGGAATGTCCAGTGGTAGCCTTACGGTCGGCAAAGAACTATGCGTCCGCCTCGTCAGCCAGTCAAGCGAAACAACAGCTGATGCGATTGAAAAACTCCGTACCTATATCACTGTGAGTATCAAAGAAGATTTAAATGTACGAAATGAAACTATTTTCGGATCTACGTTTTTTTCAAACAAACTAACGTTTCGGGCCATTTACAGGTTCCATGTTCACGGCTAACTGAGATAGTGAAGTCATCAACTAGTTATGTCTAATATTAATGCAAGCCACCTTATTTTTCACTATACTTACAAAAGTTATCAATTAAATAACTTATTTTTACATTTTACAAAGAGACGGTCCATTTGGAATTAGGAACCGAAATCAGGATCTCCTCATCCAGCGCCCACAGTGCAAGCCGTTAAGCCGCCGAGGTCGTCTAAATTTGAACAAGGACTCCAGCACAAACTACCTACCTTACCAAGTTTTATAATAATAATAACTTTATTGATAGCCATCAACAACTACTATAGAGATAGTTACAGTGCTTAATTAGTTAGTGATAGATTTCTGACCAGACAGGCAACATTCAAACCCCACAAAAGGACCTAACCTATTTCAGCGAATAGTATTATTGCTGTCCCCTCTTGCAAGCATCAATTATATTTTTTTAACATGAATACCTCTGTAGTCCCAAAAGTACAGGTACTTCATTTGTGACCCAGAAAAATCATGTTCCATGACAAACAACAGTAACTTTATCCCCTTTATTAAGTGAACTTAACCTTTAATATGTTAAGGAAAAAGACTTTTTAATTATTCGATTCAGAAATACTTGTTTTATGTTGTGTTCAAGTCACCATTAGTGATGTACGGACGATTTATCCATTACAGACAACTAGATGTTCGTGCAGCGGTCCACAGAAGTCGTGCCTCAGCGGGCCTTGCAATTCCGCTTTTGAAGAAAAAAAGTCCAAAAGATTGCCCTTGGAGACTAGTGGCCCGTCTGAGTCCCCATAACGAGCACACATCGAGTTGAATCCAAATATAGACGTCCTTTTCACGTGTCCCTTCATTATACTGTTGTGTTCACAAACCCTGTATATTATTGTAGCTTAAGACGCTGAAAAGCGGCAATGACCTTGAGCGATCGATGTTTTATGCCACGCCTATTATATTACGATTATGCAATGAATTAGCTAGCTAGGTGCAATGCGGGCGACATAGATCCATCTAGCAACGCGTCTCAGCTATCACTGCCGACCTTCTTATGTGTAAAAGAGAAGAAACTACCAACAGTTAACGCGCTTCTCAAAAAAGGCTCTATTTCCAAAATTACGTTCAAAATGGAAAAATAAAACAACCACGGTTTTCATTATTGAATAATACCTTATTCTTCAACATTTTATCAATTTTACCTGGTATATTACGGATATATGTGCGTTGAAAGCGTAGAATAAGAGGTAACTTAGAATTTTTTATCTAGAAAATATTGGAATTGGAATTGGAATTCAACTTGTTATTGAACATCGTCAGAAAAATCTTATTGAAATTATCTCGTGTGCAACAACAGTGTTACGTAAATTGTCACTCCTCCCGCACCGTGCAGCTACCTCCGGAACCGACTAAGTTAAGTCGTAATCGTGTAGCACTGAGAGAGGAAAAATTATTTCTGCTACAAAACCACTTACATGTAGCAGGAATGTTTGTTCCTCTTACAAAACAAATATGGCGGACCGTAACTTACTTTTATGGATGTCCTTACGAGAACACAGCTGAAAAAATGATAAAAAATGCATATATCTGGCAAAAATGAGCTTTCTGCTGGGAAATAATAAAAGATTTCGAAAAAGAAATGAAATTGCAGCCAACATTGTAATACTAACCAAGTTGCGTTAACACATTCGTTATTTTGTACGGAGTTACACTACTTGTTTTATTTTACTATGGTACAGGCAATGACGCGCCTACCAGGCGTAAGTCGCGCTACTTTTATTATTACACTATGGCAAAACCATCTATAGTAAATTTGTGGATAAACCGCCGCCAGAAGCTTAGACCTCCTGATTGTTTGCGGGACGCGAGGCGTGTAATGCGCATAGCTACCATGGTACGTTGTAAGGATTGGGTATATAAAGGTTAAAGCTACTTATGATATTGGCGTTCGATGAAAATGGGATTTAGTTAGTTATTTCAGTATTGATATCAGATTGAGATATCAACATCAGAATTTCAAATTCATTATCAGTCCATACTTGATTGGAGCTATAAAAATATCAATTGAAATACCTTGTCATTTGTCATTTTGTCTTTGACTTAAAATCACGATATTCCTTTCAATATTCCAAATTTATTATTCTCTATTTTTCCATTCTGTATCCCTTTCGAAATGACTACGTACCAAGACAATATAACCACCTGCATAAGCGGAATGACTGTCTCTTCGAATAGTCCAGCGGACTTATACCCATCTGATCCCTAAAACTGATCCACCTCCAATTTTAAATTGCAACTAATCCCCTCTATATTTAGCATCTCCCAACGGATCCCCTCACTGTATTTGTAGGGTAAGTACAGTCAAGAGATAATGAAGTTTTGAAATCAAAGTTAATACAGTTATATAAGTTAGTACACTTAAAGTTGTTCATTTCTACCACACCACCACCAAAAAATTAATTTGTTAGTACCAGAGATCAGATGGGAATAAAATATTAATATTTATTCTTGATCCCCTGCAATGGGGATCCGATGAGAATAGAAAATAAAATAAAATAAAACGTATCGCCCAGGGGATCGGTTTTCGGGGATCAGATGGGAATAAGCCGATTTAGCGCACAATCAAGGCTGCTCTCGCGTCTGCGTCATTGTAGTTTCACATAAATTTTATTATTGTGTATTTTCAATTTTTATTATTATATGTATATTTCAAATATTTTTGATTACATTATCTTGTTTTTAATAGTTACTTTTTTTAATAATAATATTTCATATAAGGTTTATTTTAAGTTTTTTTTTTTTTTTTTTATATTCTGACTTATTTTTTTCTGTCGTATCCACATTTGCATGCCGTGACGACCTTTAATTGAGGCAAAATTCGGTATAGGTCTCTATATCACTGTTTCAACCCTATATACTAAATCTATGGTTTAAACTTTGTTATATTTAATTCGCGTCTTGTTGGTTGTCCTAAAAATAAACAAATCAATTAATTAATTAATTTCTAAGTATACATATGATCTTATGATCATTGACCCTAGAGGACGGAAAAAAAATTGTCTAAGCTTTATACCTCAGAGGATGGAAAAAAATTGGTTTCCATAGTTTTTGCCTCAAACCTCCGTGACAGAATGTCAGCTCTGTCAACAGTGTTTTGAAACAGTTATGGACCGAAATGTATTTATAATAAGTTTTGTGACATAATAAAAGGTTAAAAATGAAAGCATGAACATTAAATGTTTCATAAAATAAAAATGAGAAATGTCACAACCGTATAATATTAACTGGGTAGTTCACCTAGTCTCAAAAATCATATTTGTTGTAATCGTTGATGGTATCTTGTTCTACGTGTGGCATGATGTGATAACGCCTTTATGTAAGTATCGCTTCACTAGAGAAACATTATTGCATACCCACTTCACTTTATAAAATTCTTACAGTACTTGAACAATTTTCGGTCATTCTCGGACTAGTGTTCCTTTATAACGAATAATAAATAATCGTGCAATAGCACAATAATAAAATCGAATACTTGAATAATAAAAATTGCCACGAAAATTAGGTAGTGAACAACTATTCTTTTTTTTAATAATATAATAACGCACACACTCAACATCGCCCCGCACTGGTGAAACCGACAACCACAAATTACACCCACACTCACGAGAGAAACAAATGTAGGCCATACAAATATTTCTCCCGGCCCGGGAATCGAACCTGGGACCTCTGCGTGGCATGGTAACCGTTCGGCCACAGAGGCAGTTGAAACCATGTTGAAACTAATCCGAGAATGACCAAGTGTTGGGTAATAATGATCAATTTATGAGGACAGTACTGGTCTGAAGACTCATCAAAATGTTAAAATCCGTACCGTATCTGCACCAACTAGCGACCTGATATTTTTAGTAGAATTAGGATAGTAAAGTAGTCAATTATAAAAATGTCAAGGTGAGAAAATACTGTTTTTAAAATTTTAAATATTACGAAATTACCCTTCATATAGCAAAAAAGCGCACAAAGCAAGCTTAAAACGTTCCATTTCAAGTGTTGCAAAACGTCAATGCATGGTCATTCCTTCATGAAAATGGTATTTGGCAGATTAACAAAATTATAAAACTAAAC